GAAAATCTGAAATGGGTCATATCCTTCGGTGAAAATAGACTCGGTCGCGAAAGGGTTGTTGGGTGCGCCGAAGGTTACCGGCACGCCATCTAAAACGGTGTGCCGCGAGGCTTGCTGCAGGGATAGAAGTACGAGGAATCGCGGTAGTTTATAGATAGCCGGGACGGATAAAAGCGAAACGGTACGGCCCCATGGAGTTCGTTATTACCCGATTATCGTTGTTACCGGTCTAATCTCACCGCGGCAGCAACCCCGCAGCAGCAGCAGCAACAACAGCGGCAACGGCGGCAACGGCGGCAGCAACGGCTTTTGCACTTAGCACTTACGTGGCGGCTGGTATTATGGTGGCAATAACGAGCGACCCCCATCACGTAACCCCACTTAAGTGCCAAGTCGCTGCCGCGCCGTATCGGAAAAGGGCGCAAGGAGAGAGGAAAGGGGACGAAAAAATGAAGAGAGCGCCGCGACCTCCACCCATCGTTACCCGGGTACCCACATCGTACAACGGGCGGTTACCTTCTTGCTCCTCTCTCCCTCCCCCTGCACTCATGTTTAACCGTGAACACCGCGGGGCTAATAGAAAGTATACACCACCGTCGCTCCCTGTGTACATCTCCCTTTATTAATATCGATGTTTCGTGCGATGCCAACATTAATCGCGTAATCGAGCTGCGCTTCGGTTCGAGTATACGCGGATCGTACCGGTAGCTGAGAAGGCTCTTGGCTCTACCATCACGCGAATTCGATCGCGCGCGGCTTTTTAGGACCGCCTCGACGGAGGACAGGGATGGAGTCACTCGATATTTCGCGAAATTACAATGAGTCGTGAATAGAATACCGATTGCCTCGATTTGTTCTCTCGGATCGCACGAAGAGTTAATTAAAAGTTTATGGTGAATATCTTGTGTACGCAAAGCAGGTCTAACGCGAAAATATCCGCGCGTTGCAAAATGCAAACACGACAAATTTGTATTTTCTTGAAGTTTTGCTCATAATGTTTCAACTGTTGCACAACGTGGGAGCGGCTGGCAGCGTGGCGTACTGGGAAACGTATTAAGGATACGGCAGCAAGGAGACGTCGCATAACTTCGAATTATCACTGTACATAATTGCTTGAGCGAGCAAGCAACTTAGCGGTACAGCAGTCCCAAGATGTGACGGGGCTGCATCTCGCGGCATACCATCTTAAATAGCCTGGCACTTTATATAGATGTCCGTTAATAAACTTCATTATACCGCTGCACTTAATTGATTAACGAGAAATTACGGAGACGGTTCTGTATACAGGAAACGAGGGTACGGCGAGCGTTCCCTACGGGGGGATAGCTCGGTCTAGTGGGGCTTGAAAAACGAATGAAACCGCGTTAATTAAATCCACAATGTAATCTCGCTTCCATGACACCGCCCTTTATTTTCTCCGTCACGTTTTTCTTCGCGCCGCATAAACGCACTGTTTTTAACGTGAAAAGTGCACGTCACGAAAATGTGCGACTGCGGGTCTGATTGCGGCTCGCACAATTTCTACGTGATTGTTATGCAGAATAAAATACCGAGAATGGAGTAATTATAAACTTTTAATGTTGCTCGCGATTTTTTTAACTCGTCGTCGAATACACGACAGCACGAACGATCGTACTAATCTTCATTCGATTATTTTCTAATGGGAGAGGATCGTATCCTCGCAATGAGTCTTCACATTCCCCGGGAGATTAACGGCAACGTAAGATCGAATGCCGGCAATATCGGCAAACAGTTTCCCGCTATTAAGCGCAACCTCTCCCGCTATGACTCCGCCATGATCTAACCGATGCTTAGACTAGGAGTAAACTTCCGGTATTTTTGCGCGAGTACACGCGTACCCGCCTGTAATCTCCACGCCCTTTAATTATCCGCAGCTTGACGCCGAGTAGTTACGGCGAATAGTAACGTTGTCATTATAACTACGAAGAGCGAACGAGGCTACCGTGCCTCTTTCTCCTTTTCCTCTTTCTCTTTATCGTCTTCTTTTCCTCCACCTCCTCTTCTTCTTCTTCTTCTTCCTTCTGTTCTTCTTATTGTGACCCTCGCGTCTTCTTCACCTCTCACGACGATATAGAGGTCGTGGCGGTTTAAACGCCGCGAGAGTCATTGTCCAGCGCCCGGTTCAAGATCCGTTCTGCGAAACGCACGATACCCAGTCACCGCTCCTTCGCGATCAAGTTCCCGCGATTGCACGCTGCCAAAGCATTTCGGACGTTTAAATATATTCGCCGTGATGCGAATGTTCACGTCGCAAATTACTCTCGGTACGGAAAAGTTTCTTCCGATGAGATTTGAATAGCAGATAATTCTATCGTACGACCTCACCTAAACCCATTACTTTATCAGCGGCAGTAAAACCGTCGTCTCACTCAGATCCTAGCTGTAAAGTGGTATTAAGCACCAGCTTTAAGTAATCTCGGCGAGACTCAACAAGAAGCCTATTCGTACGACTCTCGGGTCCTTTGTTCGCGACTGGGCGCTGCGGGATCGCCGCGATTTTACGAGCCGGTCGACGATACCGGTCGGACGACCGTTTCTTACAGTATCTATCGTAACTAAATACACTATAATGTCACCCGTCGCGTAGAAGCCATGGCGGGCGTAAAGTACTGTCGTTGAAACAATGAGGACAGGTAGATGCGTCACGATTCAGGACGCTGATCTTTCTCATCGAAGGACCGGCGCGGCGGTCCGTGGGCGTCTTAGCGTTCTAATAGCTTTTAATGCTCCGCCAACGTGATTTAGATGTGCACCGCTGGCCCCCGATTTTGCACAAAGGATCTCGACGGTGCACTGACCGTCCTTTCGAGAGGCGAGACCCAGACTGGCTCGGCGGCAGCGCCCTTGAAATTCCTCCCGCGAATACCTGCGGCTGCAACTTTTGGCCGCGCGCGTGCATAAAGTAAGATAAAGCTCTGTAAAATGAGCGTAACTTTTTTCCCCCCCCTCTGCGGAGCGACAACCGCCGCCGCAGCGCGGCAGATTTTATGCCAGCGCGCGTCCGTAATTCTCTCCGCGGCTTAGATTTGTGTGAATTTTTCAAGGGTTTTACGAAACGCTTTAATGGACGAGTGCGATCAAGCGGATTTTTTCTCTCTCCCTTTCTCCCTCTTGGGGTTTTTTAACCGGCCGAACCGTCATCCCTCTGTCTCGCTCGCTGGTCAGCCAGAACCAGCTCTACCACGAAACTGTCACGTCGAATCGCGTTTGAAAAGGGGTTTCATTTTTCCACGAATCTTACCTATATTTTTTATGATCAACTTTTCAATTTATAGAGTCTACCATTAAATCGAGATAAAATCAAACAGACGGTAAAAAGAATAAAAGGTAAAATAGAAAATTGCGAAAATTTGTTTTGTAAAGCAATATATGTTTTCTAAAACAATACATATTTTGTTGTTTGAATTTCCGATATTTCGGGAAAGGACCGCTTGACCTTTTCCGCTTTGGATTTTGGAAACGCGTAAGCCCAGCTCCGAAATTGCATCTCGCTGTACCTTTGATACTGTGCACCTCGTGTGGTCCTCTTTCCAGCGACATATAGATGGTCAGCGTCCACCCACTGATACGCGCGAGTCTCTCAGAGTCTCGGGTTACAGACGACTCTTTCCCAAAAAGAGCAACGGCACACGAATACACGGACGTCCACCTCTTAGACGCAGTATATGCAAATTTCCTTGCCTCCTAGCCGGGCACCGTCAGACGTCGGGAATATGAATCACGCTACGATGAGAGGCCGCTGCCTCATAACAGGAAATCCGTCCCCGTGCGCGCGATCCTGTAGATTCAAACAAAGCCCGATGCGTTCCCCTTTATCTCGCCCTTCAGCTTTTTCATCGATCGGCCGCGTCCCACGCGCGCGAAGAAATAAGCCTCCAGGCTTTCAAAACGTGGGAATTAATATCGGATGTGAAAGGATTTCAATTAATAATTTCAATAATGTAAGAGACGCGTATCTCTCTTTCCTTCTCTTTCTCTCCCTCCTTCCTTCTCCTTCCACTTGGTCTATGCACGTCATTAATATTTTTTACAACTGAAACTCAATCTCAAACTTTGATCTCAAGAAACAATCTCAAACTTTGCTCTCAAGAAACAATCTCATGCTTGGCATATAAAGAAGTATCTTGGCATATAAAGAAACATCTATATTCAAACGGGCTTATAAAACGAAAATAATACTGACAACGATAAACGAAACGTACAAGTTCATATTTTCCTGTCTCGACAGTGACACTTCGCGCGGCACTGACGTCACTCTTCGAAGCTGACCAAATCGAGTACCGAGGAGTCTTAAACTTGCATTTTACTTTCATGTATTAATCCAGGAACTTGTCCGTAAAACATTTCCGCCGAGAAGGTTAGTGCGTGGGTGGATCAAATACATCGAGTAGTTTTGCGAAAATATAGAGTATAAACGTATCCGAGCTTCTGAATTTCTTTAAAGAAGAATCTAACTATCTAAAAGGTGCAATTATGAATTAATTTTTTTGCAATCTATTTTTTTATTGGTGGGTTACCAACAAATCTGCTTGTGAATTGTAGTATTTAGAGTATTTAATGGCATACTAGCCGCAAATTCGCATTTGTGGTATCCTTTGCGGCGACGGATGGTACAATAAAACAAACAGTAGCTCGCAGTAGATGTGACGAACCGGCATTTATCAGCACGTAACGAAGACGGTCACGCGACCTCCTGGTTCATGGATAATGACCGTGACGGAGGCCGCGTAGCTGCCCTCATCAATATATGACGTCTAACGTCGTTTTCACTTCCTACAGAAAACCGTCGTTTCCTCTGCAACGATCCTGTCGCGAGAAAAATATCGCAGGTGCAATTAGGTCGATGTTATGCGAAAATTAGTACGTAAGGGCGGACGTGCGTGCGTGATCAACACACGATCGAGTCAATCGCGAAAACTCCGCATTTCGCATCGATGATTTGATGTTCTTCGTTCATAAATCTTGACAATATGTTCCAGAATATTTTGTGGTTCTGAAAAAGAGACCTTTTCTTTGAATAATTTTCTTCCGTTAAGTTATGTTGAGGCAAAACTTTAAGATAAGCCCCAAAATGTGCAGGTAATTCATGAGAACTGCAGAAATTTCAATAAATTATTATTGCATAGCTCGAAATATCTTTGAGTGCGCAAGACGCGATCGGCGGCCTTCTTCATCGCGCGAAAGCGACGAACATTCGTGTGTGATGGTTCGATGCGATACGAAGAATCTCGACGGATCAAAATTATTCGCGACGTCCTCGAGTGAAACTCCGAGGAAGGTACTCTGACTCGTCGAGGAAGACGTGAGATTTCGATGGCGAGATAGAAATATCTCGTCAGTCAATTTTCATTGGACCAATTACTCCAAATGGAGCTTTCGGTTTGTCCTACAAAAACCAGAGAAATCGTTGAAATGTTACCTTAGTGAACTTCTCACCAAGACTATTCTAGAGACGATCGATAACGAAGAACGGGCGATAACGAGATAACTAATTCGGCGAAATTAGTAGAGAAGAGCGTCTGGTGTTCTCGCGAAGATGGACGCTCTAGAGCTACAAGCCGCCTTGGTGAAGCTCGATCCGGCCACCACGGTGACGCCGATCGGCACCACCGTAAAATTGATGCCCCATCATCGCGTCGCCTTCACCGTAAATATTGACGACGAGGGCGATATGACTTTGGAAGATCTAACGCGGAACGACGACGAGAAGTCGTCGGCCGAGACGACGACGTCGGTGTCGAGGAAGACGCCAGGAAGCTGCGTGGCCAACCTGACAACGAGTCATCAGGGCCATCATCAGGGCAGCGGCCAGCAGATGGGTGTCTCCAAGTGCGGGATCGTCGAGGTCAGGTGACGCCAGCCACCTTGCTACGGCGTCAACATGATTTACCACACTTATCCGCCGCATCGAGGCAGCAAGCACCATGCCAAGCATCACGCCAAGGAGAAGAGACACCATCATCATCACACTATGCACCATCAGCATCACAGAGCACATGTGGTAAGTCGTCGCGTTAAGCGCGCATTGTCGCGGACAAAGAGACGGCGATGATGATGACGTCGCGTCGCCGTCGTGAGCGTGCGAAGAGATTCCCCGTACTATTGTCTGCACTCGCAAGGTCGTTTGATTGTTTCACACGACATGCTGAGTTCGAGAATTCGTCTTATTAATTTTTAATATGAATATGATGAATAAGAAAAGTTGACTTTTTGATATATCTTTTGTTAAAAGATTTATCGGATTTTTACATTAACAGATTGAAAAATAGTGGAGCAATGCGCCGCGAGAGAAAGAACTTTCTACGTCATATTTCTTTTAATAAAAAATTATATTTTTCCCGCAACAATTTCGCGCTAGGTACCATCCAAATGCTGTACAAAAGCGTTTCGTGCCTTCTATGAAATTCGAAACTCGTCCGAGGGCTTTTATAGAATTCAATAAGAGATGGAAAAGCGTGCGTATAGTAACTCGTATTTCTGTGGGCCCCTCGAGAAGCTCAACTCGCCGTAGGCACTTGTATAATGCATTTCGTTCAACTGCATTCTCACTACAAAACACGCGAACATATTTGAAAAGACATTACGCTCCGTATTCCCGTGGTACAAAGAAATAAATAATACGTTCCAGCGCGAATGGCGAACCATGTGTCCAACGAAGAAATTAAATTCACCTCCGAAATAAATCCGAAAGGCCGTTTTCGATTTTTTCACTTAGTCAATCCGAAATCCGCGCGCGCGATGCGGGAATAGTATAATATTTTTATTATCGAAAGTTTTATTGTGGCAATTCACGTGCTCTGTGGCCGTCCGAAAACGCGGAGTCTACAGTTTAATTAAAATTGATACTCCACGCATGCAGAGAGATTGCAAATTAAATTTGTATACTCATATTTCGAGCGAAATTAAAATCGAGATTAAAACCGACTAAATTGCGCATCAACATTAATATTTAAGTAGACGTTCACGTCATATTAACGTAGAAACATTGCTGTTTTTTGTTTCGCGGTAGCGTTATTACGAATTAAGTATTCCGCATGGCCTGTTCGTTACTGTATCGGACGCTCTTTATCCATTGAGCATACCCATTGTGCGTTCCATGCTCATGCAGCGAGCCGTGCGTTTCCTCTATGAATTTTTCTCGCGCAACGGTTCCTCACAGTGACGAATGTGTATCACCGAGTCAGCGGACAATGCGACACGCTCTGGCTGGCGTTCTGTTCTCTGGCTCCGCACACGTTAGCTCCGTAATACATGAGGATACGGGCGCGTTCCGTGACGGAACGCATACGGTATATATACCGGGCGTCTCTCGTGTCTGGCCGAAGGAGTTGTCCGTTCGCACCAGCCACTTTATTTTCCTAGCGGTAGTTTTGCAGGGAGATAATTAACGAGCTCGCAAGAGCAATCGACCGCGCGTTAACTTGGTCCCTCGTACGCCTACGGGCGGTAGATTAGCATGTTAATTTTTTAACGGGGTTTTTGTCGACCTGCGCCTACACGCGAGACAAACACATTTTCTGAGGACCGCGAGCCGAAAAAGGAACATGCATACGAAATGAGAGAAATTGCACTCGTAATAGAGAGAAAAATGAAAGAAAGAGAGAGAGAGAGAGAGAGAGAGAGAAAAGGGAAACGTTATTAAACCATCACATAAATCGCGCGTAAGTTTTTACGTGAGTTTTTTTTTTAATGTCTATTCACGTTTGCGCAACAAATTCAGAAAAATTGTCTTAATTATGTTAGTTTGTTCATTCCGATAATAACTGCTTTGTGCTGCTGGGTGACTCGCATTCGTGACAAAGTACGAAGGATCCACTGTAATTGCACCTTCGTGAAGAGGGTCGATCCAGGCGGGTTCGTCCAGGGTGAATTGATGTCTCGCGCGAAGATGCGCGTCCACATGTGGATGTGCGTATATCGTGATCTCGAGTGTGTATACGCGTGTGTGTGTATACACCTTGGCGGACGTGTACTCGCAGCTGCACTTAAGCGGGACATAATAGGCCTATCGCGAGCCACTTGTCTACTTCAGACCATCGCCCGCGGCCGCGGCGACCGACGTTAATAGACGCGTGTGCGGGACCACGAGACGACGAAGATGCGCGACGCCACGCAAATTCCGTACCAAATGATATAACTGGCACATCGCAGTTCGCTAATGTGTCTCATTTAGGTAATTGCTGTTCCCCGAGTTTGGATAACGTCAACTTCGTTTGAGATGCGTTTGTCGTCCCACAATCTGGCAGCGTTACGATTATATTTCATCTTCCCGAGGTTTCCGCCAAGAACTGACATACCGAATTGACAAAATAAACCTCGTTGCATCCAATGTCTGCATCGCTGCATTAATTTTCACAATTCGCATAATCGGCGACGCAGCGCGCGTTTAACGATGTGCGTACATTCGTTTTTGTTGTACCCTACGTTTCGTTCCGACTGCACGCAACATGTAAATCGTGCACGTCGAGAGCTACCCTTCGTTAGCTTCGTAGAAGAGAGCGCGAGACTTTTCCCTCTCGAAACACAATCGTCCGGTATCCAGAGCTATCGAGCGGCTCGCAGGCGCTGGTATTGAATTCTCGAGTGGGAGGAAATGCTGCGAGCGCATCTCGCGTGTGTATATACATATGCACATATGGGAGGCAGGTTTCTGCGTATATACACGTACGTAGCATATCCTCCCCTGAGTCACACGCCGGGGGCTCCGTCAACGATGAGGTTCGGCATATGTACCGGATGGGCAGATCGATAATGTTGGGCCACGTAACTAGGACGCCGGTCTCCGTCGCGCTCCGAATATCTCGCGGCGATATACATGTACACGTGTGTACCTGTGTGCATGTATATATACACTTGCGATCTTTTATTTTACCTTGCCCGTAACATACAATATGTTAGAGAAATAGCCATAAATCTTTCCGCAGATAACTTTATAGTCGGATTTATGGTTATCCCGCGCAACGGTTGAAATTGTAATTGTTCGCTGTTTTACGCAACGAGCTAAATCGCACTTTCGAGATAACGAGCGTGCATGAGTCGTATTTGCGAATTCCGTCGTGTATCATTAATTTTTTTTTATATGTAGTTCGAGCTTGAGTATCTTTGTTGTATTTGCATCCATCTGATCCCGTCTGATCACAGATTCTCAGGCTCTTTCTCTTTGCGCAGCAAGGAAAAAGCCCGCCGACTGTCGCCAGGGTCAGACTTTCAATTAGAGTTTAAGTCAGATCTTAACGAGGCTTAAAAGAATCGGCGCGTATATACACGTGCTTACACGCAGATCGAAGACTTAAGCCGGCTCGGTCCGCTCGTCGCGTCATTTGTTCGAAGGGATGAACTTGCTCGCTTGGGCTTCTGTTGCGACCGCGATCACACTCGAACGACATGAAACCGCACAATCGGGAATCAGTCGATTTACACATTTTCGTGTTCGCGTTCTCGTGAAAACAAGCTAAGGGATTTTCGAGCGGTACGCATACGGACGACTGTCGAGTCGCGATTCGATACATTAAGCCGACAATGAGATTTGTCTCTCCGCGATAAAGTGTTTAACTCGTTCCACCGCAGTTGCCGTCGATTCGCGTAATTGCGTACCGCAATCACAAATAGAAACGAATACCATAATTGCAATAATGATTCTCCAAATGCAGAAGAGCTAATCGAAGGATACGACAAAAGTACAACACAACGATATTATTTGTAATATGTTGCTATAATGTATCGTTGTAATTACCTATCGATTTTAATTCTTACGATAGCATAATATGGAATCCCACACAGACCATTTATTCATCTCATTATTTAGAGTAGATCACGGTGAATCTCGGTCGCGCTGAAAAATTAGTATACGACAGTAACAGATAACAATGAGAATTCTTTTTCCAAGAAAGTCCCTTTTTACCTCCTTTCACGAGGCTAATCACATTTCCTGCTTCTCCATTACTTTATTCCGCTTTTTCTCGTGGGCGCGGAATATATAAATATTTTTTTGCTGCGAGTCTGACAGAGCCAATCTTCCTGCAGCTTCTAATAAATTAATCGACCGGCTTCCCGTAGCTTACTTCGAAGAAATAAGCTAATTAGCTGGGCCTCGAAGTCGCGCGGAGTCGCCGGTAAAAATATTTACATCCGCCGTTTTGCAATTTGCAGGATGTGCGTGACGGACGCACGCGTGAACGCACGTTGGCCGTATGCGTGACCCTACGGGGCCGTCAGACAAACGCACAATACGTAATTTCGCATCGCAATTTCGATAAGCACCACGAGAGAAGGCGACAATCGCGACCGATCGCGCGAATCGATTGACACGGCGACGTCAAAATTATAACGTATGCTCCTTAAATGCCCGGTGGAAAGTGTCACGTGTGATCGGCTGATTGTTATAATTAGCGCGCGTATTCCCGTTGGGCAGCGAGAATTTTTCACGGTGTGATTACCTCCGGTATAACGCCGGACAGTTCGGAACCACCGTGACCTTGGCCCGAAAGTCCGTCTCACCGGTTATATTTATCTGGCGGTGGTGTGCGTTCGGTGTGTGAGAGAAACACGGGGCGGTAAAACTGACGGCGCCTTCGCGCGAGAGTCTTCCATTAATTTCAGACGTCTCGTAATTTTCCGGCGTATTCGCGAAGCGCGCGGATCGGATATCGAGTCTCTTGTTAAGATAGGTCGTAATGAATATTAATTGCAGCAACGGCTATCCTTCGCGCGCCACTCGATCCTTCGCGCCCGTGGCAGACGATCTGCGATCTATAGGGAACGAAATTTGTGACAATTTAACGAAATCGCTCGAGGCGTATCTACGTCATGATTAGTCGTACAGTTCTCCCCAAATTGCGGTCGCCGCCGCGAGATCGTGTAACGGTGAACGCTCGTTTCGTGTCACGTGCGAACGTGAAGCTGAAGATGATGATGGATTAGGTACAGTGGCGGCCGCGATTTA